ACAGAAAACAAGTTAATTGTGACATTTTGAGTGTAAAGTTCAACAATTTCCGTCTTAAAAGTTTTAAATTGAATAGCATGAGGAAGAGAATGAGAGATCAAGAATTTAGAGATAAAATCATAAAAAGCAGGTGGCAGCCAAAAGAAGAGTTGAGAAAGTTTTAAACTTTTATATGATGTGGGATTAGATATATATATATATATATATAACAAGTTTTGTGTAGCCTAGATAAATAATTATAATAATTCTCATTTTTTTTAAATTCGAGATAGGCTAGGTATATATGTTAATAACAATTTTTGTAGGTCTATATATTAATAATTTTTTTTAAAAAAACTTGAGGGTAGGGCTGGCTGAATCCGCCCTGATCTCAATACCCATTCTTTCTTCTTTTTTTTATTTTTTTTTTCTCTGAAAAAAAAGCCCAAAAGAATTATTGTGTGACTATTTTTTTTACTGTTAACTGAGGATTTTGTGTCGCGGGATTGTTGCATGGTGAAGTGGGTAAGAATGATGTCTTGGGGGTGTTGGGCGGCAACAAAGAGTGATGGGTTGCTGGCAGGGCGGGATGTGTTTGATGGATGGATGGGAGAAAGTTAGATCTGGGGTGAGTGTTGTTGGGATGAGGGTGATAGTAATACTTCTATATTATTTATTATTATTATTATCACGTTTGGGGTTAAGTAATATAAGATTTCAGTAATTTTTAAAATTAATGATAATTATGTTGGTAATATATAAGTAATTTATTACTTCTATTTTCTTAGTTTTTAAGATTACTTGTAATCTTAATTTTTTTTTTTTTATCCCTTATTAATAAATTTTTTAGATAAAAATACCCTTATTTGAAATTAATTTACAAATATTTATAATATTTTATCTTATATACAATTTTTTTAGGAGATCAATACTCTGGACTTTAAAAAAATTACCAATAGTGGTGGCTGGATCTGGTCACCACGGCCAACCGTCAACCGTTGGCAGGACGGAATGGCCACATTGGCCAGTTGTGAGTCGGTAAGGTCATTTCCAGCCATGGATCTATGTATCATGGTCGGAATGTGGTCGTTTCACGGCGTAAATCTAGCCATGAAAATGCCAGATATTTGGCCGTGAAATGATGATCGTTTCATGACAGATCTCCATTGTCATCGCCGACAATGGCTTGGGGTGGGTAGGGTGTTTTGCTAAGCTTTAAACTTTTTTTGTTATTGGGTGTTTTGGCAAATCTGAAATAGTTGGGGTTAAAATAATTGTTCAAAAAATAATAATATATAATATTTAAAAATGAAGGCAATTTAATAAATTATATAACATACAAACCAATATTCCTCCCAACCAAACATATTAATATAACATACCCATAATTTATTCCAACAACCAAACACATTTTCCTAAACATTCTAAATAATTAAGATATTATCTTTCATTAATATAATATTCTCAGTAATACAACATTCACTGAACCAAAAATACATTATTAGACATATAGATAAATTTTGGAGTTTCAAAAGGTCTAAGTGTATTAAGTTTAATCCTAAACTATAAAAATTTAGGATACTTACAGTTTTACCCTTTATCCTATTAAAACAAACGAAAGAATCATAACAATAGAGCCAGAGTTTAAAGTAATATCAGTATGTAAAGGTTTTTTTTTTTTTTTTTTTTTTTTTTTTTTAAATTAAAGATTTGGAGAACAACTCTTTTTATCATAGAGCTCCTCTTGAGAAATTTTGAGGAAGATGAAAGTGACTTTCGGTTAGTTATACCAGCCGAAATATTGCTTTAAAGGTTGACTTGCAATTACAGGAAACAACTTCCATATTTTTTTCTTGAGGGATTTAAAAGTTAGTAGTCAGTAGCCCTTCCTCATTGATCTTTGTTTTAAATTCTTCAAGAATCCGATGTTTGATAGTTTACCTGATCAAAAAGAGTTTAAAAATTTCACCGATTTGCAAAGAAGTGCTCCTAGTGAAAAGTTACCGGGACCGAAATTTGATGATCATGAATACTCTGAAATTGATTTACCTTGTGCGGCAAGCTACATGAATCAGATTAATTGATCAAATAGATGTATATGAATATTATAAGTGCCATGAATTCTGTCCAGCAATTGATCAATAGATGTATTAATTAATTAATTATGTTGCATTTGAAGCTTGTCGATTTAATAATTAATAATAAAGTCAAGTGTTACATTGAAGTTATTATTTCAAATTAAAGTAGTTATTAATACATTAAGAAGTATTAATAATTGGATATAAAACTTTGAATAATACAATTTAAATGTTGTATTAATGAATGATCTTAATAATAAACAAGATAAGTACTAAATAAAAATGAAAGACATTACAAATACATATTTTTCAAATACAATCATGAGTTAGAAGTTATTATGATGCAATAGGTATGATGTAATAAATGTAGAAATTAAATATTATCATTTGGTGCTTTTCTATGTGAAAGTGATAAGGTTGATGGCTCCACGTATCCATAAAATGTAAGAAATAAGTTCGTGTGATCCATTTCATGCTTATAGACCACACTTTTCAATATCATCTGCCTGCAGACATTTTCTGATATATTTTTTCGTGAGAACATACTTTTACATCAAAAGAACATACTTTCTAATGCATTTACATTTTCTGATATATTTATATGTTCACTCCCAACTTGTTTTGTCCCTGAGGACAAGTCAATACAGGAAAATTAAAGCAATAATGCCCCACATGATATTTGTTTTGTGTATATCTACAACAATCTCACGTGATTTATTTTTATTTGGCCAACCAAATCTTTTGTCCTCTAGTATTATCACTTCGACATCTTTACAATTTGTTTACTTAGTTACGTTAGTATTAATTAAATAATAAATTTCACGTTCATATATATTGATTAATAATAATATTGCTAATCGCAAAAGTTATTTCAACGGCTACAAACGGTTTGGTTCTGGTCTTAGATATTATCAGAAATAGTCATATCAACACACGATCGATTAGATCTAATCGATTGTATACTGTTCCGATGACTGTTAAAAACGACCAACGATGGTGGTCGACAGGTGGCAATGGCTTGGGGTAAGTAAGGTGATTTTGTTATAAATTAAACTTTTATGTGGTTAGAGTATTTTAGCAAAATCTCAAATATAGTAAGTTAAAAAATATTAAAAAATAATAATATATTAATATTTAAAAAAGAGGACAATATAGTAATCTATTTAATATACTCATCAATTTATTTCTTCCAATCAAACATATCAATATAACATACATACTAATTTATTCCAAACTAATTAAATACATTTTTCTAAACATTTTCAATAATTTTCAAGATTATTTATTTTTTATTAATATAATATTCTCAATAATACAATATTTCTTGAACCAAATACATCCATAGAGATATACCTTAAACCTTTTCTCTTTTCCGAACAAACATTAGACATTGTCGGTGAGCATGATCAATTATCAATATAATTGCATAATATTCTAGATTGTTTGTGTTGCCATAAATATATAAGCCATGTGTTTCAAACGGAGGGGGTCGTGCCATGCCACTGTAATAAAAAATTGATGTAGAAAATTAATTAGTTAAAAAAATTATTGATCACATGCTGTTTTTCTTGTTTTGATCAATGTTTGGATTTTTCTTGGTAATTAGTCTTCTATTTTGAAGACATCTGTACAGTAATTAATGGTTCTCGGATTTTGAGGTCTTGGGAATGGGATACTAATATGTAAAGGCTTCCGTTTTTGACTGTGGAGGTGTTTTAACTTTTTTTTTGGGGGGGCTGTTGGGCCAACTTGCCTAATTTTTGGGCTCTATCGACCTGGGGTGTTTCACTGCTTCGTGACTTAAGGTCATTCTTCCTGTATAAACATCATGGCCCTCTTTTCTTTGAGAGTACTTCAGCTTAATTTTCCTCCCCACATTCCACTAACAACTTTCTTTCCAAATTTTCCTTTTTGCGTATTGCATCCCAACCTCAGGTACCCAAAGAGGTAACTCTTTCACCCTGTTTCTCTCTCTTTTTATTTTTCTTTCTTCAGCTGGTTAGGTTTAATTTTCACATTATTTTTGGATAATTTCTCTCTGTCTTTTTTTAAAGTGTATATGATGTGTTGATAGGGATCGACTACTTATTAATTTCCGACCAAAATATTCAGGTTCAAATGCTCACCTATTTCATTATTTTAATTGTATGTTCTATTCTTCCTTTTTATCATTTTGGTACAGAAAAAAATAATCCTAGTTATTCTGATGTTTGGTTTAAAAAATTAATAAACCATGAATAAATAACATGTAATTATGAATATCAATGTATATGCTTAAAAAGAAAATGAAAAAAAAAATGTGATCTATATTTCTATAATTTCTAACTCTAAAAATAGCTTAAGATGTTATATTTATTAACTCATTTTAAGGTATTACAGGATTTAGTTATTAAATTGAATTTTCTTTTTAAGTTGTCATTTCACCTAAAAGCATGCATAAACTAGGTAATAACTCAACATTATATTAGTTTACTATTTTTTTTTTTTTTTTTTATGTTAGAATTAATTTAGGATTATAAACAAAAGAAGCACTTAATTAGCATAGAGAGACTGTGTAGTATCCAATATGAATAAATATTTGTAATATTTGAGAGAACAAGGCATGCATATAAATTAGGAACTCGAGGCAATTTTAAGTAAATAACCTCATACACAAAAATGATTTCTTTTTTAGTTTGCATTTATCTATTTATTTTTACTGACTATTTTGTTTGCACTTTGGTTATAGGAATGAATTTGGAAATGAGTGCTTCCTTGAAACATGAGGATTTGGTCCGAGAGTTGCGAATTGACATTGACAAAAACTTGAAGTCTGGGCCTGATCCTAATCAATGTTGTATTTAGAAGGTTCCTGAACCGATTCGTAGAGTAAATAAAGAAGCCTACACTCCTCAATTAATTTCAATAGGTCCTCTTCACCATGGAAATGAAGAATTGGCTAATATGGAAATGGAAAAAAGAAGGTATATGAAAAGTTTTCTTGAACGTATAACTGTCAAGAAACAAGATGAAATTTTAAGTTTCATTAAAGACAATGAAAAAAACATTCGTAATTGTTACGCAGAGACATCTAAGCTTGGGAGTCTTGAATACATAATGATGATTCTATATGATGCTATCTTCATTATAGAAATCTTCTTAAGGAATATAAGTGATGAAGGTACAAGTGATTCATTTCTATCTATAGCAACACTAAGATATAATCTAGGCTCAGACTTGGAATTACTTGAGAATCAACTTCCATACTTTGTCCTTGAGGGAATATTTAAGTTAGCTTTTGTTGGCTCTTGCGCATGCATACCTAACTTCATGGACCTTTCTCTTCGTTTCTTCAATTCTGCAAGTTTGGCATTGACTACTCCTCAATTTCCAATTAAACATTTCACGGATTGGAAAAGAAATACTCTATTGAAAAATTACCCAATATCCGGTCAAGCCAACGGATATATTAAAGATTTACCATGTGCAACAAAACTGCATGAGTCGGGAGTGAAGTTTAAGAAAATTGTAGGAGAACACAAGTTAATAAGATTTGAAAAGCAATTACATGAGTTGCAACTACCATGTTTCAAAGTAGTCGATGGGACTGAATGTGTACTTAGAAACGTTATAGCTTTGGAGCAATGTCATTACCCACGGGATACTCATTTTTGCAATTATATAAAGCTAATGGATTTCCTAATCAATACTGAGAAAGATGTGGATTTGCTTGCTGAATGTGGAATTATTTACTGTTATGCTAGGGACAATGCTTCAACAGCTGATATGTTTAACAAACTTTGCCGATGTACTGGTTTAAGCCCAACCTCTTACTATGTAATGTCCGAGGAACTCAAAGAACACTGTAACAGTGGTTGGAACAAAACGATGGCAACTTTAAGAAGAGTTTATTTCAGCAATCTGTGGAGAGGCACAGGAACGGTTGCAGCAGTTATACTTCTAGTGCTCACTGTCATTCAGACCATATGTTCTATCTATCAATTTGTGTGATTTTCATTAATACTTGTAGTAGACCCGCTGTTTACTTGTGGTGTAATTTTGCATTTTGAGTTGCTTCAGTCTGAATAATAATCATATGCTTGCTTTGTTTCTCATCGACTCAGTGTAACATGTTCAATTATTTATCCTATTTTTTCTTCTCGAAGCCCCTGCTATCATTTCAATCATTCCATGAGAAAACCATTGTTTTAAAACCCGGACCGGAGGGCAAACCGTTTTGCTGTCCGGGTTACGGTTCAATCGGTCCAACCGGTTGGACCGGTGACGTCAGCAATATTTTATTTTTAAAAAATTACCTATTAACCCCTTAAATCTTAATATATTACAAAAATTCCCCTAAAAAAGTTCAAATTGGTTCCTAAAATTTTTATTTATTCCAAAAATACCCCAATAAAATTACCAATTAATCCCTAAACTTTTGATATATCTTCAAAATACCCCTATAAAATTACAAAGTAACCCTCATAATTTTAAAATATTTCAAAAACCCCCCTGAGACCTAAACCGGACCAGAGAAGCTACCGGTTCACGGTCCGTCCGGTCCGGTCCGGTTTTTAAAACAGAGGAGAAAACCCATTATCTTTGATTCTTTATTAATAGGGATGTATAAGAAAACCCGGACGGGCATAGTTTAATATAAATTTAATCACTTTTAAATATGGGTATTCTTGTCATTTCAATATAATTTTATTGTTAAAAAAAAAATTTTAGTCAAAGGACTAAAATGGTAGTAATTTGAAACAAGAAGGACCAAACATGTATTGTAAACGATTGGACTAAAACAGCACTAACTGAGACCACAGGGATGAAAATGAATTGTCTCTTGGAAAATCAAGTTTATGGTATATCTAGGCTGGGCATGCCGGACCCAAGCTTTGACTGGCCCGGCCCAGGCTCAAGTAGGAAACTGAAGATCAAGTTAAAAAATTCTGAAAAATCCCATATCTCAACAATTCTTTGAAGACCAAAAATTCAAGTTTAATTGCCCAATCTTCTCTCCTCTTCTGTGCTCTCCCACAGTCAAGAGAAGAATTAGCTAACATGGAAAAGCAAAAGAAAATCTTTTAGAACAAATAATTGTAGACAAAGGGAGGAATTCTTATCCTTCAATATAGAAACAGATAAGCAAGCACATTGGTAATTGTTGTACTGAGATTTGTAAGGTTGACACTATACCAGTATTGGTGTGCAAGAATTCATCGAAGCAATTATGCGTATTAAACAAAAATCAATGTCTTTAGCAGTTTTCAATATGTTATTAATAAATATTATTTATTCTGATGAGTTGGTAGGCACCTTCATATTGGGCATCATGTATGGCCTGGAATTTAAGCTTAGGTCCAATATGAATTATGAACAAAATCCATACAAGAACATTAGTGCATACAGATTTGAAATCTTCTTAAGTGAAGCAAAAAGATTTTCTTTAATTTGATGATTGATTTTCTCTCTAGAGTCAGAAACTGTTGTCTTTTGTCCTTAATACGACGAACTTGGAATTGAGTGCGTGCATCATGGTGATCTAATTCACCGCACAACCATTTCTTTCTGCCGCAAAAGTAAGTTAGTTGCGCATACTCATTCCTAATCTAAATTTCCATTACTTAAATCATCAAACTTCTCTTGTATTTTATATCTTGGTCAGTCATTTATGATGTTTTCCATTACTAAATGGTGATATTTTTTAATGATATTTGAATGGGAAAATTGTAATTAATTCTTTAAAAATGTATATTAGGCCACTTTTTTAACTTTAGTTATCTGATAATTTTATCTGTTACTATAAATAATAAATTATTATGGTAATTTTAGTTAATGATTATTGCTAATATATGTTGAATTATTACCTACTAGCTTAAGCTTCTAAGTGAGATGTCAATTTAATATGGTGTGAGAGACAAAAGTCTCAATTTTGAATCCTCACATATAAATTGGATAAAGAAAAAAAAAAAAAAATCTGAAGTTGATGTGAGAGGGTTTAGTAGACTAATACATGTTCACAAGTTAGTTTGTTCCTGGGTTCCAAGCTGAGAATGCATCCGCTGAGTCTAGCTGTATTAGTCCTATTTAAACACTAAACTATCCTCAAACAGGAACGATGTGGGATTTCCGATAATATCATTTAAAATATATATATTGGGTTCACTTTTTAACTTCAGTGACATCATATACTCTGTGATTGTTATATATTTGATTAAACAATCTGTCAATTATTTCTTTTATTGGAGCATTTCATTTCATCTTCAATTTTTTTAAGAGTATCAAACAATGCAGCAGTCCTTCAGCTTAGTCAGCAAAGCCATGTACGCAGAAGTTTACCTGGATGTGGTGTTCAGCTGATGAACATGTGAAGAAAGAAATAAAAATTAGCTCTCCAGTCTCTAATTTGCTAGAATAAAATGCCAAGCTCATTAGTTATAGTGCAAGTCCTTAAAAGTGGTCATGGTTCACCATTCATGAACAATTGCAGATACCAGGAAGTAGAAGATGAGACGTAATGTTTATATATAAACATTACGGCTTTGGAGCAGTGTTATTACTCATTTGATACTTGGATTTGCAATTACGCTGATCTGATAAATGTCATATAAATTCTGAGAGAGATGAAGATTTGCTTCTTGGAAATGGAATAATTTCCAATCATTTCCAAACTTTGTTCTCAAGTTTGTTAAGCTTCTCATTGTTGTTGTTTTAATAATACAAATACTTTTCATATATATATATGCGCTATAAAACTGTAGCTTACTGAATCTAAATAATTCATTGGTTTGGTCATGTATGTTACCAACTTGAAACCATAAGGGCAGTCTCAGAACAGCTGAAGATGATAAATATGTTATGTTGTCTAACACGATCCGGCCCATTTGCTAGGCCATGTTATAAGTTTGTATAGACTTGATGGCAAAGTATACTTGGGAGTTAAACACTAAAATATATATAATAGAATCTTTTTATAGTTATGCTATATTTATTATTATTTTAATGTAAACTCTTTAAAATAGAATTTAGAAAAAATATAATTTATTATAACGTTGAATTTTATTCTTATTTAAAACTAACTCAAATTGGGATTATAATTGGGATGTAATCATAAAAATTACTCTTATATAAGGCTTCATTATTATAAAGAGATTCAACGATATATTTTTTTATTTTTTTATAAAGGAAACATCACGGGTCTATTCGTACTAAATTTAAAATATCTCGTAACAGACAAAAACCTCTTATAAGTATTCAAGTGAACGCCAATCACGGGCGATTTAGGCATATTTATGAGGGGCCCACGGTGGCCTTGAAAAGTCTCTATCAATTAATTATTGTTCATATAAGACAACTCTAAGAAATTTTAAACAAAATTTATACATTATTGCCATGAGTTGATTATCTCTCTTAATATCGTTCAAATATTTAAAGTAATATTAGTCTTACAAAAAAAAAATATACATAAAATCAAATTTAATCTTTAAAAGAAGAAAAGAAAAAGAGAAAAAAAAGACAACCATAAATTTTAAAAACTAAATTTAACTTTTTATGTGAGTTTTTGTATACCTTTTTATAAAATTAGCATTATTCTATATACATGCGTGAACGACAAGCCAATTAATTGGATGTATCAGTATGGACTGACTATTACACTTCATCTCTCTGACCTCCTCGAGGCTTCCATCCTGGACAAAGCTTGAAGACAAGCTTGGCCCCAGTCATTGTAAATAAATCTTTTATTTTTCACGGTCTGCTTTACAAGGCTTTTACGGAATGGATATATTTAACATTTCACCATTTATATTATTTGATTCAATGATTTAAAATCTTCATCTAATTATATTAAATAACTCAAAAAAAAAAAAAAAATTTATAGTAGGCAACACGTCCCAAAAGTGTTGACAGCTACTAGTCTTCTTTGATTTTCGGGCTGGCACTTTCTAAATAAGAAATATCGAACAGGAGAGAAGCTATTATAAAGGAGAAGATATATATGGAGGTTTCAAAGAGAAAGGGAGTGATACCATAAGTTTAATTGATATTTCTCTGTGATTAAGGTACCCCGTTGTCTGCTGATATATTGATACGAGGAACTCTGGTGCCGTCGATCACACAAATATTTACTGATTTCCGGCAAAAATATTCAGGTTCATATTCATTGTTTTCGTTATTTTAACTGTATATGCCTCTTCTTATCTTTAGTTTACCAAAGTTATATTGCTGAATATCTATGTTTTTATATAATTATTCTCATATTTATGCAGTTATTGGTTATGTAGATTGCACAGTTCTTTGTTTCTTTATTATTTGTGATATAGAGAGATATTGCTTTTAATTTAGGTGGAAATAGTTAAAAATAAGCAACCTCATGCACGAAAATGATTTTCATTTGAGGGTTGCATTTATCATTTAGTATTATTATTTGTAGGATTTATATTGGACGATGAACAACTTACAGGAGAAGAGTGCTCTAGTTAAAGTTGGATTTAGTTGAAGAGTTGCTAATTGACACTAAGGACTTAGAGCCTGACTGGCTTTTTTCAGTGTTGCATTTACAGGGTTCCTACAAAGATTCGTTCTACAAATGAAAAATTCACACTCCTCAATATTTCAATAGGTCCTTTTCACCACGGTGACATGAAATTAGCTGACATGGAAATGAAAAAAAAGGTATATGAAATATTTTCTCCAAGAATAACAGCGAAAAACGAGATAAAATTTTAACCTTCATCAAAGACAATGAAGAAGAATTCGTAATTGCTATGCAGAGATATTTACCCTTGAAATCATAAGTTTGGAATGATGATTAGGTATGATGCTATATTCATCATAGAACTCTTTGTAAAGAATAAATCCCGTCGTATAGAGCTAGTGATTCATTGCTAGCTACAGCAGCAGGGAGACACTTTATGCAAGACTTAGAATTACTTAAAATCAACTTCCATACTTTGTTCTGGAGGAATATATATTTTAGCTAATTTGACTGGCCCCGGCCCTCACAACCTACC